CCCTGTGGCTGGGGCCTCATGTGCGTGACTGTGAGACAGGTGACACGTGAGCCTTTCCCAGGGACAGCCTTTCCTGGCCTTGGTGGTCCTGGGAGCCCTCACAGTCACGCAGCTGGTCTGCTGCATTATGGGTGGGTCCCTGCAGCAACAGAGGGGTAGGGGACAGGCAAGCCGGGGTCAGTTAGAGGGGCTCATTGGGGTCTGAGGAAGAGAGGTTCTTGGAGGCTCTGGGGGATGCTGCAGCGTGCTTCCCGTGGTACTCAGGCTCCTCCGTCCCCCTCTTATTTCAGGAATGCAGTTTATTCTACTCCAAGAGATTTTGCCTCCCCTGTGTCCGGGAGAACATTGATGCTTTCCCTCAGGAAATTCAGCAAGACTTGGAGAAAAGGAAAGTCCCATCTAAGAGGCCTGCCAGCCAGCCTGGTTCTCGAACATGAGTCCAGTCGGGTACCAGGTCCGCAGCAGTGAGCTGCACGGGGCTTCTGGCCAGCGGGCTTCTGTGGCCTGGCTCGGAGATGGGGCCGAGCCGGGAGTCGCTGTCACCGACCTTGTTTCTGGGCCATTGGGAGCCGTGTCCGCAGCCAAAGGGAGCTGGGGTCCGCCTGCAGCGGCAACAGGGCCAGGCGCCACGCAGAGAGGGCGCCCACAAGGCAGACCCCAGACCCCGGTGCCCCGAAGACCGTAGCACCCCCGCCCTCACGGCGCCCACCTTAGCACTCGGTGAGACACGGACTGTGGGCTCGCCATGTGCCTGCCAGTTCTTAGAGGGCAGGAACTGCTCTGTCCGATTCTGTAGTTTCCGCAGGACCAGCGCACACTGCCTGGAGGGTGTTAGAAACATGTTTGATGAGAGTATGAATAAAGAGCCTTTACTGACCGATGTTTGTGCTGGGTTTTGTCTTCTGGGGCCACACTGTCCCAGGTCCGCTCTGTCACTGGACTCTACAGGTAGAGACCACGTCAGCCATGGGGCTGGGGGACTGTTCGGGTTAAGGGCAGACCCTACAGCTGGGGATTGGTTTTCTTCAGACCAAACAAAACAGTTCATCTCATAGCATCACTGAAAACTCGCCAGGTAATTTTTAAAAATAGTTTATTTTTTAAAACCATTAAGGCAAAACTGTACCCTGAAATTAACTCTTTACATTCATCAGTCTTACAGTAGGACATTCCAAACATACAAGTTCCCATAAATTCAGGATAGAAATCAATATACACGATCAGTTCAATCTCCTAAAGGGAAAATGAGTAAGACCCAAAATTTAAAAAAAAATTAAAGTTATTTTACAGCCATTTTCTAATTGCCTGGAACCACTGCCAGTAAAGTGACTAAGAAGATTCCATTTGCTCTCCTCTGCACACCCCGGCTTCCTGCGGCCCTGGATTCCCCACCACTCACACCCAGAGGGTCTGAGCTGGAGAGAGGGCGTCAGAGCCTGCTCAGAAAAGATCTGCTTTGGAATTGCTCCTGTTTAGTATAAAATACAAAGGGTCTGTCAGCCCCTAAATACTTTGAGAGTATAAGGCACCCAAGAACAGTAACGATAAACACACACCAAGGAATCAAGCTCAGTCCTGGCTTTGGGGACCTGCACCACTCTGCCGTGTGTCTGGCAAAGGCTCCCCCTGGGTTTGGATGTGACGGCCCTGTGGGTCCCGGGGGCGGTACAGATACACATCAGGAAGAAATCTGCCAAGGTATGGAAAACATCGTGCGGGAGACTCACGGGCTCTGTGGCTTGTTTTATACTCCGGGTTGGGCTCTGGAGGCTGCAGAGACCCAGCCGTTGCCAATGACTGCCATCAGCATCTTTCAAATTGCAAAGTTCTTTGGTAACAACCCACAGGTAGTAATTCCCTGAAGAACAGACAGCTACTTACTACACAGGAATAGTTCATGGTCTCCAGCGGGGTCCTGCTGTGTGAAATCGGTGACACCTGACCTGGGTCAGAGGCAGCCTTGCTGGTAGAAATGATAGAACAGACTCATTCGTGCTTCTTGCATGTGAAGCATGAGGAAGGGAACAGGTTTACAGGGAAATGAATTCCACATGGCTCAGGAGAGAAGGAAAGCTCTGATGTGTGTGTGCGCGTGTGTGCGGTTGTATTTCAGTTGTGATATTTCAGCTTCCTGTGTGTTTCCAACAAGTCCGAGAGCCAGGCTAGTGAGAGTATACGTCAATTAACACTGATTGCAGAAGGATCCCAATGTTTGCTATTAGATGCATGATTGTGAGTAAAATATTTACATTAGGATTTTTTTAAAAAAACCCTCAAATCACAGTATTTAAGATATAGCTATTAACATAGTTCTTTTTTACCATACAGTGTAGAAAAAATAGTGATACTCGAACCCGAATACTGTAATTTTACCGAAAACTGCACTGAGTGGTATCCATCTCGTGTGAGGTACATTTTGTTTCAGGCCTGAAAAAAGGACCAGACCGCCTGTGCCTTTAAAAAGAGAAGACATTTGCCCAAAGTGAATGATTTGACCTTGAAAAGATGAGCCACTCACTTGTGTTCAGGGCCTGGAGACTCAGTGGCCCCCACCCCTTGTCAGGGGAGCCAGGGCTCATCGTGGGGAGCTTGTCTGCACTCCGGCTGGCATGACGCTGTAATGTTCATCACTTAATGAATTTTAGATGCCGAGGGTGACAGCGGTGGGAGAAGGGCAAGGGAGGAGGAGGCTGGTGTATTACCTTCTCTGGGGAAAAACATGGAAGCTTTTCACATTCCACCCAAACTAGCAGACACATTTTAAATGTAAAATACCTGACCCAGGTCTTAATTCGCTATTTGTGATGTAAAAAATTGCTATTTCTTCGATTTTTTTCATATCATGCATTTAACAGCCGTGGGGCCTGAGGTCCTTGATGTTTACCAGTTGCTGTAGTCAAGAGGTGACCTTGGCGTGGATGCAGTGTGGTCTTCTATCTGGCAAAGGATTCCAGAAGGATGTGACCGCATGTGTTCCCCCTGGACCACACGGTACACGGCTCCCCTTTCTCAGGGGGGTGGAAGTAAACGGTTACACTCCTCTTATCTCAAACTGAAATTCTGAGAAGCAGATGGTCTGTCGAGAGCCCCCCCTCTAGATCTGAGGAGTCCGGGTGCCTCGAGCCGGGAAAGGGCGTCTGGAAATGAGCCCCGGGTGGCGGCTTCTCACTCTCTGCCCTAATAAGCAGCCATACCCACAGCAGATAAGTTTAAGGACCTGCCGCGGTCCACAAACACAGCATCGTGCAAAGCGTTACATGATTCTTTTAAGTGAAAGCGTGGAGACGCCTTGTCTTATTCTCCTTGCAGAACTTGCACTGTGACATTTCAGTTTGTCCCGTAGTTTCCACAGAAGTAGGATGGGCCTCCTGTGTTCTGAGTCCTTTGCTCTCACTCCCGTGTGTTTCACAGGCTGAGGGTCCATGACCATATTTTCCCGAATTGTATTAAAATGGCACCTAACAATAGATACAAATCTCAGCAAAAACTTTTAGACCTCAACCTTTGGAGCCTAACCTTAGATCTTTCTGGGCAGAAGGTCCCTAGAGGAGAACATGCCACCGGAAAAGTCCTGGCACTGAGGAGGAAAGCGCCCAGTTAGCGGGGGTGGGGACGCTGTCAGCACTCAGTCATGGCCCTTCGGCCCTTCGTTCGCTCCTCCCAGCCGGGCTGCCTGCGGAGCCTTCCTGCTGTGCCGCCTGGAAGTCACTGCTGTCAGGAAGTCAAGAGTCCCCTTAGCTGACGGCTCCGTGCAAAGACTTGGTTGGTAAGAATCCGTAATCCCGGGGGAGCCCTGTAAATCAGCTTGGACCAAGACTTAAGGGAGGCCGGGCCGCTTACAAGACGAGAAGAATAAATACAGACAGTCTGTCTCTGGAACCGTCCAGCGCCCGCACCACAAACGCCGTGGGAACAGTGAGTGTGGCGAAAATCCTCCCTGGACACTTTTTAATAATCGCTGAGCCCCGCCGCTGGTGGCATCGGTTTTAGTTTGCGACTTCTATGGACAGTACAATTTCCTCGCATCTCCTGAGTCGACACCACTGTTGTGAACCTAAGAACAAGTGACCCCTCCAGGAACACGTGCAGCCCAGGCACCGGGCTAACCCACAGGGAGCACCTCGCCGCACCCTTGCCCGTCTTAAACGCAGGGGCGGGAAGTGCAGGAAGCAGGCCACCCCTGGGGCTGACCCTGCACCGCCGGGCGGCCCTTCGTCCAAGCCGGTGTTTTCCACTTGAAGACGCGGCTGAGGATTGGAGGCGACAGCAGGAACTTGCATCGACAGCGTAGGTGGGGAGCCGTGAGCACATGGCACAGTCTTCCTCGTGGGATCTGTGCTTTGAAAGGCCACACGGGCGGAAGAGGCACTTGAAGGTGGCTGGTTTTCCCCCAGTCCCTGGAAGCCCCCATAAAAGGCCAGGCCGGTGATCAAGTTGGTCTTAGCTGGGAGCGCCGGACTCCCTGGTTGAAACAACGGACTTATATTTAAACAGGACTTTTTAAGACAGTCCAGAGACAGGTGTGGTCACTGGGTCAAGACAAAAGCAAAAAACCAAAAACCCTCCATCGTGCATCTGGCCACCAGGTGTCAAACGTGCCCAGTGTCACAGTGGCTTGAAAACGAGTCAGGCACAGAGGGGCACAGGTGGGGCTGGGGCGTGGCGAGGCCTCGTGAAGCCACGGTGTGACTAAGGCTTGCACGGAGGCATCTCTCCACCCTCATCTGCCAGGATTTCCCCCATGAACAGGCTCATGCATGGCCAGCAGGCATAGCTCAAGAGGAGGCGGCCCTGGGTGAGCAGGTCACCCGGGCCCTCGGCAGTGAAAGGGTGGAGTCCTAACCACTGGGCCACCAGGGAATTCCCAAGGCTCCCTTTAAACAATAAAATTCCTTTAAAAATCCACAAAACCTTCCATTTCTCAGTGTGCACACAGCAAAGGTGAGCATCCAGCCTCTGAGCCCTAAAAATAGATGGTCTGACTAGAGCTGCACCAAAAGGCCCAGGGTTACATGGACCTTAATTTTAACAGTATCTTTTGATAGCTCTATTGAGGTAGCTGTCATGCTGTAGGTTTGGGAAAACAGTAGTTGCTCAATTAATAGTACTTATCACCATACATCAAACAAAGGATCTTACGTGGGCCTTGAGCTTCTGCTCAGATCTTAGGCAGCTGCCCTTTGCTGGAACGTCCACTGTCCTCAAGGTCGTCTGTTTCCTTAGAGTTTCATGTGGCCCAGTGTAGGAGACGCATCAGTACCGTGGAAAGGTGCGTTCTGTGCTCTTAAAGTAGAAGGAAGGACTCCCTTTAACAGGGACAGCTCTCACGGACATTCTGGAATTCTGAAATTCTTTCCCCTCAATTCACATTCACTGTTTACCCCTGTGCATATATCCTCTTTGGGAAGATGCTTGAAACGCCTCTCACCGGAGAGCTGTAGAAAGGTCACAGGGAAACCAGAGGCCGGGCGGGCAGCAGGAAGGGCTCTGGTGTTCTGGCAGTAGTCAAAATGCTCCTCTGACGGCTGGGGCACCCTGTTTCTGACAGTACTGGACGTCAGGGCGGTGGCGTCCTGCATGTGCAGCCCTCAGGCTTCTCACAGGGTGGCAGGGGCAGAAGGTAGGGCATGGGACCCCCAACTGGAAATGCCCAGGAGGCAGAGAGGAGGGGCGTTGGCAGGACGGCAGCCGGGTGTCCTGGAGGAGCCCCGTGGTCCCCCCTTCCCAGACAAAGGCTGCCTGGTAATCTGTGGTCTCTGAGGAGTCTGGCACTTGCTGTGATGACAAGTTGAGGAAAGGAAGAACCAGGTTTAAACAGTGGCTTGAAGAGTAGGTCAAGGTGGTGAAAGGGGGTCCTGCCGCATCCAGCATCCCGGGCTGCCAGCTCCACGCTTGTGGTCTGAAGCTTCTGGAACCTGCTTCCACTGGACCTCATGCTGACGTCTACTGAAACCTAGCAAGCAAGAAGTGTGCTCTTTAAATAGCTACTATTCGAAAAACTACCATATATTGAACTGGTGAATAATTCGTCTACATTTGACTATCAGTGCTTGGAGAAATCTTTGATTAGGTGACCACAAATACTGTGAGTGGCAATTAGTGACTCTGTTATTTCAAATGAATTTCTTCCTATTAAAAAGTGAACAGTGTCAAGTGGCTTTCAAGCTGAGGTCCTCTGTGGCTTCGCCAGGGGCATCGCTGGTGGTCTCGCTGGGCCCCAAGAAGACCAGACGCTCACTAACGCCGTTGATGCAGAACCTGGGCCCGCCGTCAGCTTGTTCCTGTGGCACGCGTGAGCTAGGAGCTCTTTCAGACAGGCTGTATGAGAAGCTAAACAGAACAGACAACCCTTCCAAAAGCCTGAGTCTCAAGGCTCACTTTCCGACGCTGTGTCCCTTTGAATAGATCTGTCCCAACACACCAGAGCAAGAGGCCACATACACCTGGCACCGGGATCCTGCCCCGAGACCTTGGACAAGCCACAGGCCTCCAGGCTCATTGGCCCAGGGAGTTCGCATTTTAGGAAAGAATGGGGACACGGATGCACCCTGTGACTCAAAGCTTAACTCCTTTCTGACTTAGGGCAACCCCTGATTGGTGTCATTCTGAAGTGGAAATGCTTTGATTTGCTTCCAGCAGATCCTTTGATTGGATCTTTAAAAAAAATAAAGATAAAACACACCACTAAATGTGTAATGTGTAAAAGGATGTCCTAATTGTAAGTTTTGCTTTTTTCTAGTTGAAGTCTCACAGTTTTATTTACAATAATGCTGATCTTGGGAACTTTATCAAATTCAATCCTAGCCATTCTTTAACGGCAAATAATAATGACCTTATAGAACCAAATTTCCTAAAGATAGAGGGGGAGGGGCACCAAGGGTACAACCAGGTCGTAAATGCTATCGCCCAAGAGGCATCCAGGGGCTGAACTGGCCGGATCAGCCCAGTCTGGCTCGGGGGAGGCACTGCTGAAAGTTCTCTGATGGGACCATTAATCTACCATGGTGGACAGAAAAAGAGGATTTCCAGGTCCATGTGCTCTAGATGAAAACCATAATCCATACCGCCTTCCTAATTGGACCAAGGTTGAAAAGTTGATCTTTAAGGCTGAAACAGATATTGCAGATAATGGCAAAACTACCTTACATATGTAGTTGGAAAAGGGAACAACTCTCAAAATCTTTGTAAAAACCACCAGCCTGTTGTGCATCCTGAGATGAGGAAAACCACCATTTCATATCCACCTCACACACAGCCCCCCACCCCGCCCCGGCCTGGCCCGTTCATTCTCCAGATGAGACCCCTGCCCCCAGGCCACACTATAAAGTCACCTGTGCCTCGTCTTCTCCACTCCAGGGAGCAGCTACCACCAGCAAGAGTTATAAAAATTAAGCCGCATGTTTAAAAAAGCAACACAGAAAAAGACCAAGGAGCTGCCTTGACAGAGGGGGCCCAGCGCAAGATTTACAAATAACTTGTCACTTTGCCCCTGGAGACGTGACCATGGCCCCCAAACAGCCTGAGTCAGTTGGTTCAGATTTGATAGGAAATGGAGGTGAGAGGAATGGGAAGCTGACATGCTTCAGAGTCTGTCTTGTTCCTGCTG